CCCTGTAAAATCTAGCTCGCACATTACTGCTAAACCAATGGACAATTTTTCATTTTCATATATTTTGTCCTCAGTTTTGCTCCCATAATGAAATTTCGTTTCAAGTGTTTTCTTTTTATTTGTGCCCATTTCGTTTGGTTTTCGATCCATTTAATGTGAATTTCAGCGCTCATATCATATGCACTACATATTATAATTTATTGGATGGCATGGTTTATCGTTGATTTTTGACGGTTGGATCGTTTGCGTCGTTTTTTTTTATGTTCATTTTGCTTTCAGGAAATACAATATTCGCTTATATAATTAACGTTTGTATATTTACGCTGTTTTCATTTTGAAAAAAAAAACATCGAATTTCTCATTTCATTTGTAGTACATGCAAGTTAAATAGAGTAAACTTTTTTTTCACGGCAAAAAAAAATACGAAACTCATCAAAATAAAAATCGTTCAATTTGTGATTCTGTCCCATTCGATGGTCGCGGTGATTTGTTATGAATTTAATTGGTTCCGTTTGGATGTGTCACATTTTCTATATAAAATGAAAATTGAATTTCGTTTAAATAGCCACATATTGTAATGCATGTACATCACTAAATCCACAAGTTTTTATTATACGATTGGAAGTGAATATGAGAACGAATCAGCAATATCAAGAAGAAGACAAACGATATGCGTTCGAAAGCTTCACTAGAAAAATCCAACGTTATGCTTCATGGTAAAATAGCAACAATTTCTTGATTTGACATTTCCAAATACAGGCTTTTTGAGAGACAGAGGAGAAAAAAATGTCGTATATTCATCAATCTGGCTGCATTATAAACATTTGACATTTACCAACCACAAGAATAGCTGATGTACATATGTTAATTATTTTTAGTCGATGACAATAAGTTTTTTTTTTTCATTTTTTTTGCTGCGATACGAGAAGGAGTAAAAAGCGTAGCAAAACTATAGAGAAGCTCATAAAGACGAACCAAACCGATGAACTTGTTTTAATAGACACTCTAATCTCTGAACTGGAAAATTACAAAATCAATTTATTGTTGTGTGAAAAAAGTGTACGTGTTCATTTCACGGTTTGAGGTCGTGATAAATGCATTTAGCTTAGGAAGGCACACAATCAAATGTCTCCAACTGCAATCGTTTGGTTTTATTTTACTTGTTCGATTGAGTTTTGGAGCTCTCTATGGTACCTGACAAATACTAATTTTACTGGTCCATCAATGATTTTCGGGTCAATGTAAACACGTTTGTTTAATAAAAAAAAAAGAGATTTAATCCAAAATCCACTCCAAAGATACAAGTGTATTTAAATTAATTAATAATTACATATTGAAGTAGAAACAAAAATACACCACAAAACCGCAACCGCAACAATTTTTCTTTTTCTTCTCAACGATTATAGGCCAGTGAATTCTAATTAAATACGATATTCTGTGCAATTGAAAGTGTCGGTGAATTCACTTAATTTTACTACGGATGATGACTTCCACGATATTGCAAAAACGAACGAGCAAATGGGATAAAATGTATTTTAAACGAATGAAGCACGCGCAATGAATTGCATGAAGTAAAAGAAATTTGCATTAGACTTGGTTCGCTGACGGGAATCTCAAGTTGTTTAACACACTGTACATATTCGCGTGCATTCAATCGCCATAAGAGTCGAACCTCTCGCCAATTATGAGTTAACATTCGAGATGTGTGGTTTTATTTTTTTGTTTGCTGTTCAACTATGACTGTTAATTTGTGTTAGTGTTAATATGCTTTTAAACGTGCACAAACATTTCAATGTTGAAAAAAAAAAATAAAACAAAAAAGAAAATGAATAGGATGAGCATAAATACAAGTCCAAACAAATTAAACGATTAAACGATTAACATATATCAAGCATTCTTTTTAATTAATTCATATTCGCAAGAAAATCAAATGCACATAATAATAAACATAAAAGCAAAATGTTGTGGCGGTCGATCGAGCGGGCGGTTTCATATTTGCGCTCGTGATCGTTTCCATTGAATAAAACACAACAACAACAAAAAAAGAATCAATCTTACCACGGTTTTATTGTTGCTGTTATTGTGTTTGTTTGTGACGTGATGATGCATGTTTTTGACTTGTTGCTGATAAATTTGGTTACAAATGATGCCAAAACATTAAAACAAGGCAAATATAACCATTGAAATGAAATACGATGTGAACTCGTATCGCCGACAACTAACCTTTATAGTTCTATGCATGGCGATGAGGTTTTTCGTCTTCTTCTTCTTCTTCTCTGTTTGCATATTGATTATGGCCGTTGGAAAATGTGATAACTTCTGTAGCGCTTTTTGAATAAATTCATGCTTAAAATTCAACTTGACAATCGACAGCGATTCAAGCAAAAAATGCTCAATGAGTCTTTAAGATGTGTTTACCCATTTAACACATTCAAGTTGTCTCGATTTGTTTGTCTTTTGCTTGTTTCAATTTCATTTTGACAAACTGAAAACCATTTTTTATTTGATTTTTTTTTTTTTGAAAAATAATATGCAAAAGCATACTTCGTTCTCGCTCAGGTACAATTGTTCAATCATTAAGGTTTGTACAAAAGCCATATTAGTGTCAATTTGCAGATGTTTCTTTGTGTGCTTCAACAACGAACAAAAAAAAAATCAATTACCATCAAATTGAACCCTCTGCTCACCTTGAACACAGAAGAATACAAAATGAAGTGTTTTTTTTTTTTATCTCCAGCTGATGTGGATATTTGGTATGTGTACGATTTCCAACACGGCTGGCACGGTGCAAAGACCGTGATATTTGGGTGAAATAAATATTTTTCTTCGTCTTTATCTTGTTTTTCGTGCATGTCAAGTGTTTAGAACCTGGCAATCAGATAATATCGCATACGATAATTTGCATAACGCGTATATAATTCACAAAAATTTGCATTCGCAATGCGAACATTGTATGCAGTACTCAACAATTTGTTGTTTTTTCACGTAATTATTCGTGTTGAAGAAAAAAAAATGGTGTTTTAACAGTTCTTATATGTAAAATTTGACGGAATGTTTTCGTGCATATTTTCGACCGAGAAAAACTTTCAGATCTGAATTAATTATTGAAATTCAGTTTCGTTGTGGCTTTTTTTCTTTGCCGACTGAAAATAATCCCTAGAATTAGGTTAAAGTAATTATCAGACGTTAAAACAATAGAACTGCATGTGTTGTTTTTTTGTGTTTTTTGGTATGTTTGCTGTGCGATTTCAGAACAAATTCGCATACAGTGTGCATTGTGCATAGTTCTTTGACTTGATTATGTGCAAGTGGCATAAATCCATTTTTTTAACGGCTACCCATTTTAACAATTTATGCATACAATCAATGTACTCAATCTCGACCATTCCTCTTCATCTTCGCACACCATTTCTGGTGTTTACAATTTCTAATAATATTCCAAAGATATCAACAAACAAACAATTGAACCAGTTTTCCTGAATATTCCATGGATATATAAATTTATTATAATGCAAAGGAAGTTTTCAATTTAAATTTTAAAAAGAAAAAAAAATGCGTTTAAAATATGATTATCTAACGATTGCGAATAGTTTCGCGTTTAAATTTGGTTTAGCATTTTTGACAGGAAATGACAAAATCGAGCACTTTCGGAATTGGATATTTCAATTTTTTCCAGTTTTTTTTTTGTTACAATTCAACTTGTCGATTAATGTACGTTAAAACTCTCACTATCACCCAATGGATTTCGATGAATAAATAAGTTATTTTTCGCGCAACATTGCATATGTAAAAATACCAAATAAAATGCAAATCACAAATAAAAATCAGTTGCCAAATCGATTGAATAACAAATTGCCGAAGAGAAGAGATACACAGAAAGAAAAATACGTGTATTTAAACTCTATCAATGGTACGAGCTACAAGCTTGTGATTGATATGATATCGTATAGGAAATGATAAAAAAAAGTGCACAGCCGATATTGGAATTTTAATTCAGAAAAAAAACACCAAAATTTGAATAAAGAAAAATTCATCCATTTCGATTTTGTTTACATAGAGAAAAATGTGTAGTTTTTTTGTTGTCGTTGAAATTCGAGTGAAATAAAAGCGGAAAAAAACCCGAGCAAAGTAAATGCCAAAACTATCGATTCAACTGTAAATTAAACCGTTCATTCATTAGGGTCGACAATTTTATTTGTACATGCACACATGTTGCGTCGTCCCATTATACGTGTCTCATCCAATTATAACAATTTGTTGACACTTCGAATTAATCGATTGCTCGATACGCTTTTGTCATTTGCGAAACAAATCGGTATTCAATTTTTGTGCGTACGACTTTTTCTCTCGCTCTCTCTCTCTCTATTCATATGCCGTTGTTATATGCTCCAAAAGCTTGTTTAGTGCGATTTCATTGATTGTGGCATTTAATCGGTAACGTCTATATGTGCTTTGAATTTTTTTTGTTCGTGATTGTAAGTTTAGTTGCGCGCAAGAGTATTGAAATTCAATTTTCATTTTTCATCAAATCAAATGAGAAAAAATGTACCGTATTTTCGTCTTGAATACGTATTTGATTTCATGAGTCATATTCCATGTTACATTATGGAATTCCTATTTCTGTTGTTGGTGGAATTTTTGTTCTTTGGTACTGCACAATCGGAACGTAGTACGAGATCAGCTGGCTACTGATGGAATATAGTTCACACATCGTCTGAGCCTTTTTTTTCTCAATTCGAATCGTTTTCAATATAAGTTAGCCGTAAAAGCAATAACCAATTAAGCCAATTGGCACCTTGGATGTGTGATCAAATTTATATGAACTTTTAATAATCTTACTTTTTATTCATCCACGTGTATCTTCAATAGGGGACACCATTCAATCTTGGTTTGATTTTAAAGTGTATCTGTTTGATTTCCGTTTCACAAGCACCGAAGTGAAGAAAATAAAAAAAATGAATCGGATATAACCTTTTTGTTTATGTGTTCACAGAAGACCCGTCGTTCGAGCTGGATAGATGGCGGGTGTGTGTGTGTGATCTCGTTAATCCAAAGCCGAATCTTTCGGCTCAAAATACCAAATGTACCATTTTATGAAGTAGAATAAGAAGATAGCGAGGAAAGCAAACTTCAGATAAATGGATAAAACCTCACTCACGTATCGCTGAATTTTGACGGATTTTCTTTAAACACTTGCTCACAACGAAAAATAAAACTGATCTCAAACAGTGTATTCTATCGAATTGAATCAAATCAAATTAATGCTTAACTCAATAGAATTAACACTTCTGTACACGCAAACACGCGATATTTTCAAACTTTTAATCGTTGTCTAATTGACAATTTGCGATACACGCAAGCAAATCAAAAAAAAAATTAATCAGAGCCCCGAAAACCCTTAATATCGAACTGCTCGAATCAATCGACAGCACTCGACTAAATCTCAATGAAGTTCAATCTCGTTGGATTTCTTCTCTATGTGTTTTGGTGTATGTTTTTTTTTTTTACTCACTCAGTGGCAGTGTATAGCCAGAGTGTAATTCCCTTTTGGTTACGTTCGCTCTGTTTCTGTCTCTCCATGTATATTTTATGATTTGGCTTGGTTGTTGTCATTCGTTACTTTTATTTCATTTTGTTGCGTCGCATGTAACTGTATTTAATTCATATTTTATTCGTTTGAACAGTTTCGTCGCTTGACATATATACTTAAAACTAAAAAATTGAAATACCGAATTTGTAGAGAATTTAATTTGCACACAAACAACACATTCAATGTATCTTCTGCATGCTTGAAAATCTATTTCCCTCTCTATCTTACACATTCTTTCACCAAAAAACAACCACAACAACTCTCAGTTGATCTTTTGCGATAGTCGTTTCACACATACACACTGAGAGTGGATCAAGAGAGCGCTCACTGTACACGCGCATACATATTTACATATGTATATTCTGTCGAGCCGCACAATCACGTCGCCTGCACACACGACACCAAAACCCGTGGAGTATTTATGTATATTTGTTTTTGTTTTTAATTTATGCAACCGAAATTCATGTTCGAAATTCAACAACGACGATGGTGTAGCGCATGTTTTGTTACATAATTGATGTTATGGTGTTTTTTTTTTTGTCTTTGTGTGTGAAAGTGTCTCTCTCCGGTTACAAGAATTAATCAATCGAACAAATACATTCTGGGCATTAAGCGCGCAATGGAAAATCAATCGCATTTATCTTTTCTTCATCTCTTGTCGTGCTAAAAATAACATGAATTTGAAAGAAAATAATATTGGTCTGAGGCCAGCTGTTTGATAAAATGTGTTTGTCACATTGAATTTTATTTGTAACGATTGTGGCATGGGAAGCGAACCGACTCTTTCAATCTGCCGTTTTAAATTGGCAACGATGACGACGACATCACAGCAATACGATAATAAAAAAGTACAGAAGCCATCAACAGCGATTAAATGCTAGAGTACATCGCTTTTTTGTGTGGTTGTTGATTGTTGTTGTTTCGAATGGTTTACCACTGCTTTAAACTTACTAAGATACTGATGTTGTTTTGATGTTGACAAGACAAGACAAGTTCGGGTATGCTTCTCTCTTTGTTTCGTCGCATTTTCGTAACATCTTAATTGGCATTTAGTTCGAGCTGTGTGCCGTTTGGCAAATGAACAAATATGCAAACATTACTAATCGAATGCAATCCAATTATTACCTTTGCACCGCGCAACACGTAATCGATATATATATATATATACGATACGTATATACAGAGCTTTATTTTCATTGCCTCACTTCACTTCCATTCGATGTGTGCTTGCGATCATTTCAACAAGAAGAGATCAACACTATAAGTGTTATGTATATGTAATGCAAAATTTAAAATTTACTACGTGATATACCACTTGTTTGTGTTATTACATATGTTAAGCGGTTGATTGATTTTAAAGTAGATCAATCCGATTGCATCGTTGATCAAGTTCAAATTGGATGATGCGCCAACACCATTTTTGCGTAAAATGTTATGCCGAAAATCCATAACAAAAAAGATGAACAAAAAAATGAACACTTAAATGCACTTTGTTTTATGGAAATCAGTGTGTGTTACATGCGAACGTGTGGTTTTTTTATATTTCGTATGAATGAGTGTATGAATGAAAGAGCAACAATAATGACAACAACAACAAAAATATAATACATGCGTTCACCACCACAACATTGTTGCTGAGAGGTCGAGTCACACGATACAAATGAAGACGATGTATGTGTGTGTTGTATTGGCTTTTATTTAGTAGCAACATAATCAACTGATCACTTTCGCTTTTTTGTGTGCGATCGCATTTTGCTAACTAGAGTCTCTCACACTGTTTCACTGACCTTCGAAACAATTTATTACCACGAGTGAAAGAGAAAAATACATAAAATCAACATTTTTCCTCTTCTCTTTTGCATACCAATCAGTTTTTTTAGCTTCTCTCTCGCATCAATCTCTTGTATTAGATAAACTTTGGCATTTGGTTGTTATGTCTATATCGAAACAAACCGTGGTCATTTCCCAGAATCATTCTTCTTTCTACTATTCACACATAGTTTTGTTTACATGCCATTCATATCGTAATCTCTGAAATCGTAAACGTGTACACCGTTTTCCGTGCTCCGCTTTACATCACATAAAACCTAAATTCGCAATTAAACTTTGGCCTTTGGCTCAATCAATTCAATGGTAACTTCTTAGAAAAAGAAAAACTGACATTTATCGAAGCAGATAATACAATCAATAAAAAAAACGATGACACAAGGACAAAAAGTCTTAACATATTAAACCATCGAATAAAGTTGAATCAGTTTAAAAAAATAGAATAATTTTATGGTGATATAATAGATCACACATTTTCATTTGTTGGTCATTCGAACAAGCGATCATTTGAATTGAAATAGTTTAACATTGAAGAAAAAGTATGCGATAAACACGTCACATACGGAAATTAAATATAGACTTGACTAAAAACAACGATGTAGCAAGAATAAAAAAAAAATCAACAAAAACTATCACCAATTAGTATAGTGAGATCGAAAGAGAGAAAGAGAGGGAAAATACGAAGAAAATGCCAAAGGTGTGTCATAAACATTTCAACGAAACATTTGAATTATGACTCCACGTGTATAAGTGTTTTTCATGATTTCCCGCTCGACAAAAGTCACTGACTGGCATTCAACATATTTTCCTTTTATCATTTCTCACTTGATTAAGTCAAATAAAAAACGAAGCATTTCACAATGGCACCGAAATTTATGGTTCAGGTGACGCAAATTAAATGAATTAAGCAAAATTAGTGAGAAAAAAGTCTTTCTCGCGTCATGTGAGAGAAACAAGTAAGAAATGAAAAATTAACCTGTCGTGAGCAATGGACAAATGAAATTACACATGTGTGTATGAAATGTGGTTTTGGCAACAATAGGAATTTCATTCATTAAAAATGATGGCATTTGAATTGGCTCTTAAATGTTATGGAGAGTGGTTTTTTTTTCTCTGTCTAATTTAACTAGACAACAATATCGGCTAAATATTGCTTGTACGCTGTAGAAGCGAAAAGAAAAAAAAAATTAATTTATAGCCGATGTTGTGTGAAAAGTGCCGAAAAAAGAGAAAGAAATCGATAAATCACTTTCGATGTACACTCTCTCATTACTATTGCTGTGCTCTAGTGTGTGTTTACAAGATGACGGACACAAATTAGCGTCAAGCCGACACTCATCAGGTGCATTCACAATAGATGAATGAAACGATTAAACATTTTCCAAATTTCGAGTAAGATGCAAAGTTTGACGAATAAAGAAACAACAACAACAAATCTACGGTGTACATAAACAAACAAAAACCAAGTTTGTTAAATGAAAAATGGGCTTTAAAAAAAGACAAAAAAAAACATGGTAGAAACCACTACTTTGATGCCGGTCACTTGCACGAGATGAAAAGCGCTCTTCATGTTTTCGACTTGAAAACAACCGACCATCAAAAAGAAGAAGAAAAATCGTCGAGCTTGCTAACATCATCGATTACTGAACAGCTCAAAGCAATTGCGGCTCATCGGAAAAGAGATGAAGAGCAATACTGTATGCCATTGGTTAAGCATATAAACTAATATTGTAAAGAAAAAAATAACTAAAACACTCTCTCACACACACACTAACAATAAAATTATAACGCTTTCGACTTGATTAATTGATGTGTGAATTGAATATTTTCTTGCGTTGCCAATTTTCTTTCTATTTTTGGATGATTATTTGAGTACTATTTTTAATCATTTAATCGGTGGCGTTACTACCTTTTTGTGATTGGTTTCTTCGTTTTTGCTCTTTACATGCCGTTTGTTTAACGGCATTTGTAAACTACCAAAAAAAAAACCAACAGTTTTCGAGGGAATATTGCTCAACAATTTAGAAGATCGTAAAAGGTTAAAATAAACAAAAAAATACCCATTGTAATCCGATGGAAGAAAAGTGGAAACAAAATTTTGTTATGGCATTGATGCGTACAACGATGTCGCATCGCTCTATTGAACTCACGTTTGTTATCGAGACGAGAGTGATTTTTAATTCATTGGCAATCATTCAATCGCATAATAATTTTTACCCTTGATTAGAATTCACACAAAAAGAACGTGATCATTTAAATTTAGAAACATTTACACAACAATGGTTTGCATGTGCTTGAATTTATTATAGATGGATATCGTTTCGATCTAAAAATGATGAGGTCAGCAATTGCTCCATATTGGACGCAGATTCATTAGTCAGTGAAGATTTTCCACTTGAATGAAATCAATTGAATCGATTTTGAATGCACTTGAAAATTTATTCAAAACGAAATGCCATTGGGTGTATTTAAATATTGTTATGAATTCGACAGTAATCGACAGTGTATCATGCTTTTTTCATTAAACCAATCTCATCGAATGATCGATGAAACTGTCGGATTTTCATCGAAACAATTTAGTATATCTGATGTGCTCTTGTGTGTGTGTGTCCGCTTGGAATATTTTTAAGCTCACAACAGTGCAATGTGGTTGACAACTAATTCCGTTTCAATCTGGTTTATAAAAAGTGTTGTTTTTTTTTTTCGTTCACATTCGATTGGCTAGCCTTCGACGATAGTGTGTGTATGTTGTTTCTGTGTTTAAGCTGAAAATATACTCATGATAGCTGGCGAATAAGACAACGGCGTAAAATTTAAAAGAAGAGAAGAAGAAAAAAAAACTTTATAGTTTCAAATCTTGTTATCGCAACGTCTGTTTTGACATCGATTTCATTTTTCTGCGTGTGTTTACGATTTCATGTCCGAGACAATAAAAATAATGTTACACGCGAGAATATGTGAAGCGACGACAACAACGTACACTCAGAAAAAAATGT